GATTTTTCATTTAGCACTGATTTAAACTTGTGAAAATGGATGGTAAAGCCGAGCTCTAAAAGCTGAAGTGAATAACTTCGAAAAGGAAAATCTGTGCAGCAACAAGGGTCAGAGAAAGCTGACATGCTTACCTAAATCTACTGCAGGACCGCATTCAATTCGAAGCATGAACTCATATTTATGAATTTGTTTTTCCATCTCGGCTGTGTCAATACCAGAGCACTCTACATATCTATCAGGGACTGACAGATAGCCACACCAACACAGAAAGCCTCGATCTAGAACCCACCATCCATGACCTTCATGGTGCTTTTGCATTTAGGTGGACAGAAGCCATTCTCTGCTTCAAAGGATTTTAAAATTGAGGTCTTCAAAGGTGCAACGTAGATGTCTGAGGCCCAAAGAGACCCTAAAATTTCATCCAGCAGAAATCCCTACTTTCTAATACCCACGTCTTCCCTGTCAGAGTGAAACAGGAGCCCACCGCTATTAGCATAGAGAAAGCTTGGCTGTCTCCAGAGCTGCTATTGTCTGTCTGACTGTGACTATCTCCTCTCATCTACCTGCTGGAACTCTTCGTCCCTTCACTTGCTGCAGTCACACGCTTTCACTCAACGCAGTCAAACTGGCCTCATATACATATTCACCAGGAGCGATGTTAACGTGCGCTCTCATTGCCACAGAGTCACATTTGCCAGTGGTAATGCTTCTATATTTCAGATTTTATTAAGACACTGAGGTGTTATTGATGTGGCAGCTGCTCTCTGGCTCCAGGGCAGTACTGCTACACTCAGTAAGAAGAGTGCTTCTGTTGCCTAAAACGGACACGCACTGCCTTTTTATGTATCTACTACACATTATGTAATACAATACTGTATCACATATGACGGTGCACTTAACACAATTAAAGAAAGTCTTCAAGCAGTTTATAAAATCTCTAAATGAGTTCTACAACACTCTGTAGTAGATCAGAATTTCCGAATTTCCCAGAGGAACCCACCCGAGGGATTAATAAAGTTGTATCTTATCTTATCTTATCTTATCTTATCATTTCTACTTATTAGTTGAACCAGTAAGAATGGATCATTTTTTATGTTGCAGTCTGGCAAACCATAATCTATAGAATAATCTTGAGAAAATAACACCAAGTCCCAGTCATTAAATAGCATCCTCTCACGAATGACCACCACATTCCTGAGTGCGTGTACGTGAACGTCATCGTTATTCCTGTGTTTTTCCATGCAGCTTACAGAACGCTCGTGCAAAGGCACCCTCCCTTGCCTGTGTCGAAGCCCCTCTGGTCACTTACCATCGCGCAGGGCAGCAGAGTGGAAACACAGCAATCCTGGCACTGCCAATACGCACTCTGAGTTCATTCACCGTAGAGCGCACCAGTCTCCCTGTTCCATCTGTCACTCTTCTCTCGTAATCCTCTGCTCCGGTAAGCGATCGTACTGGAGCAGGAGACGTGTCTTTGCTCAAAACATTGTGAGCACTTGGAAAAAAAAACACTACAATAGGTTTGTGTTTATAGTGACTGAAAGGGTAATACCAGTATTTATCAAGCTTGTGGCAGTCATAAGAGTTCTCCAAAGCCTGCAGACAGTCTCTTTAATCTGAGACATTAGAGGCGATTTTCTTGTCTACCCTCTGGTATTTTAACAGTTTCTTTTTATTGTGTTCATTATTTCTATATGATCATGAGTGTGCATTGTTATGAGTCCAATTTAAGAAAGAGTCCTTTAATGATCCCTGTGGGGAAATTCCTCTCTGCATTTTAACCCATTCACTCAGTGAAGCAGTGGGCAGCCATTGGGCGCCCGGGGAGCAGTGTGTAGGGACGGTACCTTGCTCAGGGGTACCTCAGGGTAGCTGTTCAGGGGAATCGAACTCCCGACCTTCCGATCATGGGGCCACCACTCTACCTACTGAGCTATCCCTAGCTTTATCTTATTTATCTTATTTACTTTTACCAGGTGTGCTTGTCTTTGTGGTGAAGTCGAGCATTTTAACACTGGTGTCTGACTTTCTTGCTTTTCTGGAAACCTCAGATGGCCATTGTAGCCCTGTAGTGTGCAACTTGATTTAGTAGTATTTGTATATTGAACATTCACCATACATGATAATGTCACTATGCTGTGTGCAGGCTAAATATAAACTCCAATTTATCATATCATGCTGTTCTCATTTGGGGTTTTATTGCTCACAGCAGCTAAACCCCTTTTTATATGGTTTATTTATTTATTTATCTGCAAAGTATAGGGGGACAATAGAGCATTCTGAAGTAATTACACTGACAGCAACAGACATGTAAATCAGACGAGATGCTAACCCACTCAAGTCTGATTGGACTGGAAACATCTGCCCTTGCTTACACCTCTGACATTCTGACATGCATTTGGCAGATTTGTGATGCAGCTTCCCCAAAAACAATGCTTTTCTCACTCCTCCCTGACTCGTGTACTTGTTCTCTCGCACTGCCATATGTCATAATAGGCTGAGGCAAATCACTTCCAGCTTAGAGCAGATATAGTGATTGTATCAAACTGACCCCTAACAAGCTGTCAGCTCACATTTCATAAAGCATGCATCAGCACTGGGCAGCCTGGCATCCGTTTGGACAGTCCAGACAGGTCCTACTCAAGCCGTGTTATTTCTCTTAGTTGTCTGCCTCTCCGTGTTTCCCTGACAGTTTGACTTGTTGTCTCATACTAAATGATCGAGTGGTTTAGCAGTTTGATAGGGACTCAAGTGCAGTGTTGGACAGACAGGAGATGTCTGCTCATTTCATCATGGACAAACAAGCCTCTCCCTCTCTCTTTATTTCTCTCTTTTCTGGTTATTAAGTCGGATCCTGCTGCTGAAATCTTCAGTTCCATAGTTACCACGTAGAGGGAGCCCGTGCGTGTTGAGAAACCAAAGCGTGGAAATGCTGAATGAGTGAGAGTGTGTGTATGAGAGAGGGAGGGAGAGAGAGAGAGGTGGACGAAATCAAATCGTAGGGGAGTAATAATGTCAAACAAACCAGCAGCAAGATAATCCATTCGGACTGTGCGCCAGGTTTAACAGACTCCCTTTTCGTTTTGGAGCAACTTCGGACAACTCGATGGGAACCTGATGACCCGCTGACTGCTCGGAGCTGCGCGACAAGTTGCTGTTGGGGGGGTTTAAAAAGAAGGCTCACTATTTTTAAATGGGTACAGAGAAATTTCGGGGGGCGTGGACGTGAGAGGAGCAGAAGCAGCAGCAGAGCAGCATGTTGGCTCTTGGCTCCAGTTCCAGTGTGGTGATGTGCCGCCTGGAAGAAGAAGAAGTGGTCTGCGCGTAGACGGAGCGGTTGGACGCGGAGCCCTGTGATTGTCAGGCGTCGGCTGCGGACTTTCTGTCATTTTGAAGATCTTTTGGTATTATTTGGATTTCGCTTGCTGCCGTTTTGGCGACAGAAAAGGACTTAAGGGGAAGGAGCAAGAGCTGTTAAAGGCTGCCCCGCGTAAGGAATGAAATCTGGCCACGCTACTGCTTCAATGACAGTTTCTTTTTTAAATATATTTGTTTAATGGAAACGTAATTATTGGTTAAGTGGCTGCACATAGTAAGTCACCGTGGGCTGGTTAAATCGATGATCAAGTAATGTGGCTTGAAAGCTGCCCTCAAGTAATCCCCAAGGGTTCTTCATTTGTAGTCTAAATACTGACAGGTGTTTGTCATTCAGACTGTGTCAGAAAAAGTGTTTTATTCAGTCGTTTTTTTCAGGATTTCATCCACATCAGACTTGGTTATGGTAACCAGACCTTTGGAATGGCTCGTGCACAATTATTTTGATCCAGTTATTTGCGCCTCTCACGCTCAAAGGAAACACGCGTTATATTTGACCACCTTACAATGCGTTTGAAACGCGGAATGGGAAAGCAACGATCACTTTAGCGTCTTCTTGCTCTTGAGTTGTAGCCGATTTGGCAACAGGCAAAATGACAAGCAACGGACCTGTCATCGTCTACGAGTGGCTGAAGACCCTCCAGCTTTCCCAGTATGTCGAGTCCTTTGTGGATAATGGATATGACGACCTCGAGGTTTGCAAACAAATAGGAGACCCCGACCTGGATGCCATCGGCGTCTATATCCCTCATCACAGGCAGAGGATTCACGATGCTGTGCGGAGGCTGAAGGAGGAAGCCAAAGAGACAGCCAGTGGACTGTATTTCACCCTTGAACCCATGCCACCCGCGGCCGAAATTTATAGCGGGCACCTGGTGGAGTGCGAGTCTAAACTGCGGGGATCCAAGTCTTGGACCGAGCCCATCAGTGACCGGGTTGGGCGAAACGGCGGGTACATTGGGGCGCAGAGGAACCTGACCCTGGGCAACAGGAGGGAGCTGATGATTTACCCCAAGCTCAAGCTGAAGATCATGATCAGGGATAAACTCATCAGAGATGGCATCAACCTCGCCAAGCCGCCCTACTCTAATAAGGTAAGAGGAACCCCGGTGAACTCTGTGACCTCATCAAATCAGTTAATGAAAGCACAAGATATACAGGCAATAATGCAAACACATACTTTAAATTAACCCACTTAACAAGCAATTTAGTATGATGACCACTAAAATGTAAGCTTTTCCGTTTTTGCGCCTAAATAAGTCTTATTGAATTTTGCTTCACTGCCATTATCAGGTGAAAAATTACAGCAGATTTAAGAAACTGTTCATAACAAGAGTCAAAGAAATCAGTCAAAGCCGAAAGAGTAAAGCTTTTTAAACTAAACATGGAATAAATCCTTTCCGAAAGGGTTGTTTTGTAATGTGCCTGAGATGCTTGTGGCAAGGAAGGTCTGTCACATGTTCACATCATCCATCATTCGGTTGAAAGATTGCCCTCTGTCAGCTAAAAGGTGTTTAGCATATTTCAGTGACGTGTTCAACGTCATCTAAAGAGCTGAGTCACAGGCAAATGTCAGTGTGATGCCTAAACATTTTCAGGACCATTGCACTTTGCAGAAGTGTGAGTACTTGCTGTCATTGTGAATGATGGGAGTGAAGTTGCTGCGGATCGATAAGAAGAGAGTAGAGCCTGAGGAGCTTTCACCCTGTCTGCGATTCCTTGTGGGGAGGAATTTACACCCTGATTATTAATCCACTCTGACCTCACCTGTCCCCCGACTTGCTTCGACATTCAGTGTGGGTGGATCAGCCAGACCCATGGGGCTCAGGCCTAGCTCTTTGCCTTGATGAATTGGCAGCGGGCTGTCGATTGCAGGTGCAGTAAATGAAGAGAGCCCAGCTGGGTAGGCTATTGCTGTCCGGTGAGGAGCCAGACTGAGAGGGCCTCTTGTTTTCACAGCACTGATAGTGACCTTTCTTCAGAAGTGTTTGAATCATATGCCTTACCAGCTGAGAGGCCTCCACTGAATTACTGCTGTTTGCATAGAGCAGGGCTTTTTGAGAGGAGCCACTGAAAAGGAGCAGGTCATGTGATCTGTATTCTTTTTCCGTCTAAGGCTCTGCACAGCTAAGAACTGACCTGACACTGCACGGGCATCTTTAGAGGTCTGTTCCGTCGTAACATCAGGCTTGTTAACTTGTTAACTCAGCAGAACAGGCAAATCAGATGCTCGCTGCTGAACTATTACAACTGAATTATTTATCTTTGTGGTCGCCAGGGACTTCCACACTTGATTTAGCCACTTTTGATCCTGTTGATTAAGTATTTTGAGATGTTGAGTGAGCCTGAAGAATTAAGGCAGAAACAAGTGCAATGAGTTTGCTGTGAAAATGTGTGGATTTGTAGTAAGTCTTCATGCTTCTAAGGGCCTCTGTATTTCTAAAAATCCTGGTCATGGCTTGCAAATTTATTTGAGGGTGTGTTCCCAATAACGCTTTTTATTATCTAGTTCCAGTCAGACTGAAAATAATCCTGAAGCTACAGAGTTGTGAAAATGTTGATGACTATTTCTGGCTTAACACATGCGTCTACCGTTTATTTTGTAGGATCTAAACTTTGGTATCATGCTCGGTATTCAGTATTTGCTCGCTCCCAAATTGGCTTTTTGAAATTGACAACAGTTTTGTATTTTGCATGCTTTGTAAGCTCATTTTGTCCGTTTAACCATTTTGGCTAACTGCGAATCCCACAGAGATTTGGGATTTGTGAGGGATTAACTGTCAGACTCGGCCTGAAACAAAGTGTCGATTCCAGAGGGTTAAACTATCTTTCCATTTGAAGGCTGTATTTATTTAGAGCCGGAGCTCTGGCATTGAAGCTTTTGAGGGGAATGGGCAGGTCAAGGTCTTTCTGCTTCCCTCACTCTTTCTGTGTGTGCGCGTGTCTATGTGCATATGTGTAGCCCTGCAGTTTCGAGTTGGCTCCAGCACAGTTCTTTTTTTCTTTTCTTTTTCTTTTTCTTTTTTTTTTTTCCCCTCCTCCACATTAGGAGTGAGAGGAGTGTGGGACATGGAGCTGTGACCAGCTGATAGTTTGACTGACTGAGCTGTGATTGGTCTGTAGATATCTCTCCTCGCCCTGCCCTTGAGATGAGATGTCATCCCCAGTGGAGACTGAGACCAGCGATACAGACATAGGGCAATTACAGGACACACAATGTCAATCTCAAGGGATGGTCATTGTGTAGCATAACCAAGATCTCCATCCACATTTAAACCGTCCTCGGATTTTCATGAACCATGGCCCGTGGGTACTTTGCAAGCAAAACCATAGGCGATATAGGCACCGAGATTCATAAATCCTCTCTAGTGTGTGCTGAATGTTTTCGTGGGAGACAACCCATTATCAAACAATTCACTGTAAGGGCTCTGCTGGGTGTAATAAATACCCGTGATCCTTATCAAGGCCGCGGAGACCTCTTGTCTGAGAGAGAGAATATTATTTCTTATGATGTAAACAAACACTTGTGCCGTCGGTTGCACATTTCTCGATTTCTCATCGGGGAACAAAGCAAGCGGCGAAGATGCTGCCGCCAGTTTTCTGGTTGTTGAATGCACAGCAGTTATGGAGTTAATGTTCATTGTTTTGGTTGAAAGATTGTGAGACGTTGATGGAATAATACAGATTATCATTTCTGATGATCTGACTTGTACGTGTTTAATTGCTGCTTTGTTTTGCTTCCAGTAAGGGGCGCAGCACATGTGGACAGGATACAGGCAGCTGACATGCTTACATCCATACAGCTGGAATACCAAAACAGGTGGGGGGGTGCATTGATGTACAACTGCAGTATTTGGACATTTGAAGATTTTGTTTACCTGTTCTTTTTCTTTTTTGAACAAGACAAATAATTGCAGTAAGCAAATACAGTATTTACCTAAATTCCCCCCATTGTGTCCAGTTGCTCTATTTTCTAATCCAGTTCTTTTAACATAATTTCTTAAATTTCTCAACCATACTGGATGTTTCGGGTTGAAGCGTATGCCGCCTTTTCAGCAAGCAAAATTTTCAATATTGATGTACCGGCCGCTCGGTGCCAAGTTATGAAGATGTGTTCTCTTGTTGATCTCATCCAGAGGCTGCTGCTTTCAGCACCAGCAGACATAGTCAGTCATAATAGCGCCTCTTTGTTAGCGCTGTGTGTCAGGAGGAAGCAGAAGCTAAACACTGGGAGATTCTCCATTGTTTGTATGGAAGCTGATGGAGCCACATGTCCTTTCACTACTGGTCTGTTTTGCATTCCCAATTTCCGTCCATTGAAACAAACTGCGGAGGCAAGTGTCCAGCATTGTGCTGATGGGTGGATGATTTTAAAAAATACAAAAAAAACCTTGGTATCATTCAGAGAAAGATAGAGTTGTAAATAGATGGGCACATTGTTTTTGAATTCTGGTGAAGGCTTGGTGGGCGTTTTTTGGTCAGGAACGGGCTGTCAAGTTGTGGGGGAAAGTTAGCTCTGTCTGACCCCACAGAACAGCTGATCACATGTAGCGGGTGCCACAAGTGACAGGCCTGCAGCCTAACTGGCCTTAAGAATGTAAGAGAGGCAGCAGGCCATTAGAGGTGTGGGGTGGTGCTAAAGAAAAAAGAGAGATGGCCTTTAAGAGGAAGTTCATCTTACATGACAAACACTCACCTCACTTCCTGTTTCTGTACTCTTATCTCTGTTATTATCCCAACACTCTCACACAGCAGGAAATTTGAGTTCTGTTTAAGGTGACTGCCTGTTGGCCCGCTGTGGCCGTTGATGGCCCTCGGGCTTCACTGGAAAGCTGCCAAGATCTGGTGGGGAAAAAAAACTAAAACAATTTTAATGAATCATCAGCGCTGTCAGATCATATACATTTACCGGCCAACTGCCAAATGCGGTTAAGACACAGAATTTGGCTTGCATAAAGAAAAGAAAAAAAAAAAACTGGCACAGATTTCCAGTTAAGCTCCCATGCTATGTAGCTGCTACTCTATCCTATAATGAAAAATATGTGCAAGGAAAACTATTAATTTGACATTTTTCCCAAATGAGGACCCTTTTCATCACACAAGTGAATGCTTTTGTAGTTTTTGTTTTTTTTCCCTGCGGAATACTTTCAATCTTTGTTCATCAGGCTAAGACAGGCTTTTTCCCGCAATGAAGGCGAAAGCCTCGGGTTTGTCTGTGTTCTGCTGAAAGCACTGTTTGCTCAGTTCTTATTAAAAGCTCCTTAAAGGCATAATCAACCAAGGACTCATAAAGGGGAAGTCATAAAGAAGTCAAGGACCCACTCTATTGTCCTGAGAGGACAGAGAAAGTTAATTAGCAGAGTGAGTTCCTCTTAACATTATATAGCGTGTCAGGGTTATATGATTGCTCACATTCCCAGCAGAGTGAAAAGGACTTATATGCACTCCTATAGTTGCTCCTTTTGTAAACAACTCATGTTTGGAGACCTCTATAAGAGTCTATGTAAAGCTTAAACTGAACGCATCACTTTCAGTTCCTCTTCAAATCAGTTTGATAAGCAGATTGATGGCCATCACACAGACCTTTTCACCTCACAGTGTGTGCCCTGCTGGATCAAAACACAAAGCTGTCATGTTGATCTCGCCTAGATGATAAAACAGGCTGCACACCTCGAGTCTTCTTCTGGATCTTGCAGTCGAGTTGTCTTCTTTTTTCCTCATCTTGTATTTTAGACGGCCTATTGATTCAAGCTCATGTGATCATCTTCCCATTTGTAAAAACTGCTGTGTGCAATAACTCATGAGAAATTTAGCACATCGTACGGTCTTGCTCTGCCATTCAGCCAAAAGCAATACCTGCAAAAGCAGTTCAGTCCAGTATTTCGAGAAACGTTATCACTGCAAAGAGATATCCGTTCGCTGGATGGGTTTCAACTTTTTGTACTGTGAATCAGAGAGCTTCTGTCTGTCCCTCTGTCAGAAATGCTGAACCACCCATCTCCTGGGAGCATGAGCAAATGTGGGAAAGCAGAATTTACACTATATATGCAGCTGGCAGTCTCATTTTAGCAGGAAGGAGCGAGAAGAGCTTGTT